TGTAATATATTTTAATTATTCATTGTAAATTTTTATGTAATAGCTTTTCTATTTCTTCTCCAATTCCAGGGATTATATGGAAATTGTTTGATTTCTATATTTCGGGACAGTGAGGTTTTGTTTGATACTTTACTGATTTCTGATTTGATTTCATTTTGTTCAGAGTGCCTATGCAGTTCAATTTCAGGGTTTTTTTATTGTCTTTTATTTAATTTGTGGAGACTTGTTTTATGACCCAGGTATGTGCTCCCTCTTAGTGAATCATGGCATGTGTGTTGGCAAGGAAGTAAATTCTGCCTTGTCTGGTGTTTGCACAGCCTAGTGTGTTAGCCTTAGTGAGCTATGCGGCACTGCAACACCCAACATATCAGCTTAGACAGAAAAGCTCTGTTGTTCTTACTCGTGCTTTTGGAGGTTCCAGGCTGTAGTTTTAGCACGTGATAGGAAGAATCCTGGCGGAGAAAGCTATGTGACACAGCCCTTCAAGGGCAGCCCTTAGTGACCTGACATCCTCCCCTAGGAGGTTTATTTTATTGGATGTTAGTTCTGTCATACAGCCTCGTGTGCTTCCTGTCAGCCCTGGAGATCTTTCTGCTGGCTTACTTTCCACCCTTGTGTGATGTTATAGAGCAACTGGGTTTCTTCTAGACAGAATCTGATAGTACTTGGGTCTTGTGGGAGCAGGGAGTAGGCAGAGTTGCCCATTTTGATAATGTGCGCCATTTAATTGCAGTGTTTGGTGGTATTAACATTTGGTATAATTAGTGGTGATTAATCTATATTGGTTGTCTTTATGTCTACTGGTTTAGTCACCCCCCCCCCATATTTTAGTTTTCACTAACAGAATGATCATTTCATTGAATTCTATTCTTTTATGATTCTTTGTAGTTGGTTTGCTCTGTATCCCTTGATAGAGAACATCTTAAGAGAAAGTAGTAAGGACATTACCTGAAGGCTAGAGGTTAGAGGCACTTGGTGGCTGTGGCATGGGCAAAGTGGAAATGCCCTCATGAAGTTTCCATACGAGGTTGATCTTGGCCTCCTTGCCTCTGCCTCAGGCGCCCAGAAAGCTGGAAGTCAGGAGCACTTGCTCTGTGCCTGGCGGACTTCTCTCCTCACCTGGCCTTGTCTTCTGCTATAAGCACATATTCTGTGCTCTACTCTCCCTCGTGTCATGGAAAATAAAATAGGGGGACTAAAGTGTCCCCCGGGTGATTGTCTCTGACATTTGTGATGTGAAGACTTTTATTGGAGTACTTTTGTCCACACTGTGTTTTTCACTTAGCCATGACCTCTGTCAGGGCAACTTTTGGGTGATCCACCTGTGCATTTAGCCCCTAAATTCCAATATGGGTATGACAGTAAAAGCATGCCATACCTGCGACATTTTTTCTGTTCCTCCTGGTCCCTCGGCGATCTCATCATGACTATAAAACATTAAGCTATGGAAAGAATCAAAACCAAGAATGTCGAGCGCTGCTCTAGTGTCGTCAGCCATGACTAGTGTGATAGGTGCCTCGTTTTCTCTCATCTGCAATGTCAGCAGCTCAGCTTTTCCTGGTAGTACTTGTTAAACATCAAAGTTCTCTGACTTTTTCAGTTATATTGGGCAGAGACTGTTGGCTTTTAGATCCTATTAACATAACCAGTCTCTAGAAAGAAATTGGATTACGATCTCCAAAATGAGAGGATGAATCCTGTAAGCCCAGTGGCTTAAGTCTAGAGCTTCATGGATTATGAGAAGTACCAGATTTTATTGAGGGAGTTTCCAGGTATGGCAATAGTTTTGTAAAAGGACCTTTGTTCTGTGCTTGTGGTTCTGAGGCATTCAGTAATAACCCAGGTGTCAGTAGTCCGAGCACATCTTCATCAGTCCAAAGAACAACTCATTTGGGGCCTGTAGACGATGGGAAAAGTTGGTAGATTGTGAACACTAGAAGTTAGTGTTTCATCTCTGTGCCCTCATCTGCTTCTCAGTTTAGCTAGAATGGATTGAGTTTGGGATTCTATAGCTTGACTGGAAAGCAAATCTGGAATTAAAAACTAGTAGATTTTTAGTTTGTCCAGAACCTTTGACCTAAAGCAAGATACCTCTACTGTTTGCAAGAGGGCAGATAGCCAGCAGGGTCATCTAGAGGCTGTGGGAAGGGAGAGAGTACTCCTTTGTCCCAGCTGCAGCAGATTCGCCTATTCATCCTTCATGTTCATTTCTTTGTTTTGATGGGAGGAGTTAGTGCAGAACTCATAAGCTGTTAGTCACTGAACATTGTTGGGCCTGCTGGGAGCCCCGTCTGAAAAGAGAAGCAGACATAGCCGTGAATAACAGCCTAGCTTTGTAGTGTGGATGAATACAGGGCCCTCACCGAGGGTTCTGAGATGTCTCAGGATGAGAATGTCTTTGAGCAGAGTTGAGACCTGGTTGGCATGGGTTTTGTTGCTCTTCGTTTCTAAGGTGAGGCTCTCCTTGCCCTCTGCCCTGCTCCCTGCCCCCTGTAAACAGCTCCTGCAGCGTACAATATTGACTTGTTATGTTTCTTAGAAGGCATGAGCTTCTTACATAGTGGTAACCTGCAGGAAATGTGTAGGTTCAGTGCAGCCCCGCAGCCTTCCTAAGACAACCCTCTGGCTGCATTAAAAAGCAGTAGACCTGGCTCTGTCTCTTAGAAGGAAAAACAGCTCCTCTCTGCCCCAGAATCTAAGAAGTCTAAATCCCAAGAAGGTGAGGTGTTGACTGCAGTACTGAAAGAGAGGCTCTCTGGCTAAGTGGCTGGCTAAATGATAGGGGGTGGGTTATGGAGCAGACCCTGAAATGCTCGGGCTAAGTAGCGTCTTGTCTACACATACGAGCATACAAGAATAGTCCCATAGACATCCTTCCATCTCTTAAACGAGGCAGCAGGTTTACTAAAGTAGCCGACTCCATAGCAACAACAGACACTGCAGCTCATGGAAGATGCCACACTGTTGTTTTTATTGTTCAAATTTGATTCGAATTTCTACTTCATTGCTTTTCAGATAGAAATATAATTCTGAACGGAACTCTAAAATATTGGCCCTTTTGTTTGTTTGGGGTTTTTTGTGGGGGAGGGGAGTGAGACAGGGTTTCCCTGTAGCCCAGGCTGTCCTGGAACTCACTCTGTAGACTAGGCTGGCCTCGAACTCAGAAAGTTCTGCTTTGTGCTGGGATTAAAGACATGCGCCACCACTGGCTTTTTAAAATGTGAATTGTTTCTCATTCTCCACGTTTCCCCAGAAGAAAGACATTTTTGAAATGGAGTTAAGTTTTTGAGCATAACATTTACCTCTGTGTCCTGTGCTGTGTCCTGTGCTGTGTTCTGATTCCCCAGGTGGCAGCGTCGTGCTAGTGGCAGCCTCCTCTGGGCAGGTCCCCCTGCTGCTGTTGCTACCTCTCTGGTTTTTCCCAGTGATGGAGCTGTCACTGAGCCCAGGCTCTCTTGCTGTGGCTTTTGCTCTTGCTCAGGCTGTGCTTTTGAAAAATATCAGTTAATAGGAAGGTTGGTGGCACATGTTAGAATCTTTGAGTTACTCTTTTGAAATAGACTCGAGTGTTCTAGCTTCTGTCTTCATCCATTTATATAATTTGCTTTCTCCACAGTGGTTGGTTAGCTTTTCTTTCTCTTTTTCTCTTTCTTTTTTTCCTTCTGTTTCTTTTAATTCCATATAGTTCCCTGGAGCCCGTGATTGCTATTGGGATCAGGTGAGAACTGTGCCGCTGTGTACTCCTGTCCTCCTATTTGACAGGCACAGGGTTTTGAGATGTTGAGAGAGGACAGAGGAGCCACTGCCCTGTCCTAAACAGCACTTGACAAGCTGTGAGCATTCTTTTCTCATCTTGTCTCTCTCCTCTATGTTTCGGCTGATGTCACGTGATACAAAACACTTCCAGTGTTAGATGAGATTGTACGTACAGCCAGTCCTGCAGCTCAGTGATTATTCACACTCTGAGTAATTATTATAATTTTAAATTAGTCAGTTTTAATTGGCACATAAAAATGAAGAAATGCAACTAAGTTACAAATCATTATGATATCTGCTTTTCAAAACTTCTTTAGAAAGAAGAGGAATAAATAACTGCAAAAAGCTTCCCTTGGTCTTTCCCCCCCGGCCCATGAGAACAGGAGCAGAGAAGAAGGTCACAGTTAGGAGGTTAGAGATGCCAAGACAGGCCTACCTTCAACTCTTAACTTAGATTTTATTCCCTGCGTATCTTGAATAAGATGTCTATTCCCCTTGAGCTTCAGTGTCTTCCTGAGGTAAATGGAGTGATAGGACACCTCTCAGTTGATAGTCAGGGGCCAGTGTTGACCACCGAGACCTCCATCACCGAGTTCCTGCCACTCCACCTCACCAGCCCCCTGACAGATGATTGACCTTGGGCCGGGAGTAAGGCCATTGTCTCAGATAACTTAAATCCAAGGTGGTCCTCACGCTCTCGTATCTAGACTTGATGAGACAAAAACCCTCCCTAATTTTGCACATTCCTGGAAGCTAGACGTTTCACCCGAATGATCCCTGCAGCCCACGCTGCTCCCCTCTTCCCTTTGTTTCTTGTATTTAAAATGGCTCTACGATGCGGTGAGAAATAAGTAATGCAAATGGGTTTTGCTTATGTGAAATCGGTTGCTAGGAAGTGAGAAATAGCTTTTCACAGTGAAATCACTGTTTTCAAGATGATTATGGCTGCAGCTAACTGCGTGTGAATAATAATGACAACGGTAATGACATGAGGATGCTCTATGAAGTGTGGGTACCATTGTTACCATCGTTTTGTAGATGAAGATACTGAGGCCAGAGAGCTTAATAGAATTACTGTGTGCCTGGTGAGGAAATAGCAGAGCTGGGATTTGAACTTACACGATCTGGCTCCAGAGCCCACACACTTAGCTCCTGTCTAATCCTGGAAAGACTAAGAGAAGGCAGACTGGGAAGAAATGACCCCAGACTGTGTCAGGTGTAGTCATTTTAGTTCTGCTCTGCAGGTATTCTGAGAAAAGCCTCACAAAATGTATTGGAATTACGATTGAGACCAGACCTGATTACTGCATGAAGCGGCATCTAAGCGACATGTTGACTTATGGCTGCACGAGGCTGGAGATCGGGGTACAAAGTGTCTATGAAGATGTGGCCAGGGATACCAACAGGTGAGATGGTGGCAGATGGCCAGCACAAGCCTACTCTGTCTGCTGGCTTTTCTCTGTCTCTGTACTCACCTTTCTTCCTTGATCCCAGTCTCAGAGATAAGTATTTGGCTTTTTGATCTCTTCTCCCGTCCATGCTCTTCAGATCATCTGCTTGTGCCTTCATGTTCAGTGTAGTCATTTGACATTCCCTTCTGTCTATCTGGAGAGAGAGGATACACAGGGAAAGTCAAGTGTACGAGAAAATTTATAAATCACTGCCCCCTTGGTGGACGAACAGAGAAATTCAGATTTCAAAGTGGCAGCAACTACCACTGACTCAGAGTGTCAAAGGAGGCTTCAGGAGGAAAATGTGTTGAGTTGTACCAGGAAGTCACTTCACGTGGCCGGGGTTGTGAAGGAGAGTTAAGGAAACTGGTCCATACTTAAAGCAGCCTAGAGGAATGATAGCTCCAGGACTTGGTCCTTTAAATAACAGAGATTGGTTGAATATTTGTAAGCACAGGAAAAAATCTAAATCTAATAGGTATTGTACCTACAAATAGGAGCAAGAGGAACCTGAGCAAATAGGAAAAATCTAATAGGTATTGTACCTACAACTAGGAACACGAGGAACCTGAGCAAATAAGAAAAATCTAATAGGTATTGTACCTACAACTAGGAACACGAGGAACCTGAGAAAATATCTAATAATAGGTATTGTACCTACACATAGGAGCACGAGGAACCTGAGCAGAGCAAGCATGTAGGGACGGTCTCACACAGGAAGGCTGCTGGAGAGTGTAGTGTCACAGGCTATGCCAGGGAAGCTTCCTGAAGAAATGACATGTAAGCTGAGGCCCAGAGGAGACTCGCTGCATGCCCTGAAGGAAAGCTGATTGAGAATGGGAGAACAGGGCAGGCAGAGGCTGGATTATGAAGGGCCCAGGAAGTCAGCCCCCCAAGCTGGGCTTTTAATCAGGAGGCAGGCTGGAAGTTAAGATAGGAGTATGCCTGCATTTAAGTAAGAGCCCTTTTGTTCCAGTATGGGCAATGTTTAAAGGGGGCTGACAAGAGACAGACTTGGCCACAGCTGTTGGAGTAATTTAAGCAGGAAACCATGGAGTCCTGCAAAGCAGTGTGTGTTGTTTGGTGACTGCTAGGAGGAAAGTCCAGGAGCCTTGGAAGGAGAGGTTTCACTGTGGATGCTCTGAAGAAATAAAGGTGTGCTTTAGAGCAGGGCTCACCAGTAGAATGTTCCACTGGGGTCAACTTTTCCATGTGACAGTATAGCTGAGGACATGAATATTTCTTTGTAATTTGATTTTTAGAGCCATATACACATAATTGTGACCATATTATACAGTGGACTTTGAAGTAGAATTATCGAGTGCAGAATTGAAAAGAAAGTCCCAGTCCCATTCCAGAATTTTGGACTTCACTAATAAAAACTAATTAGAAATGAGAGTGGGATATCCAAAAGGAGTATGGTAGAGCTCATAGCTTCTAGATCTTTCTGTGCTAAGTGGGAGCATCTTGGTGGTAGAAGGAATTGTCACAAGGCTTCAATTGTTAGTTACCCCAACTGTCATCAAGGCCTGCTTCCTGCTTGGATGTGGCGGGAAAACAAATGCTAAGAGACTTGATCCAACCCTGTGCCAACAAAACCTTTCTCTGATGGACCCTCTGAACACACTGGTGCAGTCTACTTCATATTGTAGTTTACTCCCCCCTCTACCAATATTTCCTAATCCTAAATGAAATGACACCTCAAGTCAAAGCCCCTTCATGGTTGGTTTTTGGGTTTTGTTGCCCACTGTGTACCCAATCCTGGTATAGAGCCAAGAATAATCTTGAATCCTCCTGCCTCTACCTCCCAAGTACTAGGACTCTCAGTGAGTATCAGCCATGCCTGGCTGCTGTATGGTCCTTGTTTAATGTTGATTCTACAGTAATAAGCAGATTTTACAGCTGGTGCTGAGCCATGTCATCTGAGTGCACAGTGGCCCTTATCCATTTGCTTCCAGTCCTCCGAGCAGTGTCTTAGAAGCGCAGTGGTTACAAGAGCTAGTTCCAGGATAGGCTCCAAAACCACAGAGAAACCCTGTCTCGGAAAAAAAAAAAAAAAAAGAGAGAGAAGCGCAGTGGTTTTCCTCCAGGCCTCCCTATAGCTGTGTAAAAGTGAGTTCTGGGGTTCTGTTCCCAGCCAAGTGACTCTGTCTCATGGATTGTTTTCCTCCTTCTCACCACCTCACCCCCACCCCTGTTAACTTGGTTGTCCATTTATTTGTCTAACCAGTAATGCATTTTCTTCCCAGGGGCCACACTGTGAAGGCAACATGTGAATCATTCCATCTGGCCAAAGATTGTGGTTTCAAAGTGGTAGCTCATATGATGCCTGACCTGCCAAACGTGGGCCTAGAGAGAGACATTGAGCAGTTTATAGTAAGTATTGCCTTGAGCCAGCAGACCCAGATTGCCTCTGTACGCTCCCTGCACCTCTCTGCTCGTGCTTGTTTATTTTTGTGTTTCCATTCTCAAAGCTCTAAAACCTGTTCCAAAATATTAGGAACACAATAAAGAATGGTTACCTACCTCTCCGTTGTCAGATAAAAACTGTGTTTTAATATATTCTGTTCAGGCTTTAAAATGCCTAGACTTGGGGCTGGAGAGATGGCTCAGTGATTAAGAACCTGGATTCTATGCCCAGCACCCACGTGGTAGCTCATAACATCTGTAACTTCAATTCTAGGGATCCAACTCATTCTTCTGGTCTCCCTAGGCACTGGGTATGCATGTGGTACATAGCCATACATGTAGACAAGACACTTTTACACATTAAAAAAGATTTTTTTAAAACTATAAAATGCTTAGGCTTTGGGAACTGAGGTTTATGCACATGTAACACAGGCACACTCACATTTCCATGGAGATATGAAGTAGGCTAAAACATTTATTTCCATATGGTGGCAGGTGGCATAGGTAAGGCACATGGCCTGTCAGCTGGGATGCTGGCTTTTCTGTCCTCATTGTTTTTGGCCAGAATCCTTTAGTCCCATGTCCCTAGAGGGGAAAAAAAAAAAGCTTCTCGGCCAGCACAGGAAGTAGAGACAAGTCCTTCCGTGTGCAAGCATGGATCTAGGGTTCGCTTTTACTCCATGTCTGTTCTAGTCTGCCTAGGACTTTTGATATGTGGGCTTTATGGGACTGTGGTGTGATGAACTGGCCTTCATCACCCTCTTAACTTACAGTTTTCTTCCCTTTCAAACTGTGTGCCAGGCTTCATCTGTTTTCTGTTTTCATATCGTGGTGCCATCCCACATGCCCCCTCATCTCCTTTCTTGTTCATTGTCCTTCTGAGTTTAAAATTCTTTAAAAATGTTTCATCGTGCCTTGTGATTTTAGAGGAGAAAAAGAGAAACCCATGTTTTAAACTCCCATGTTTAATCATGGGTCCAGGACCAATTCAGTCTAGCTTCATCTTTACAGAAAGAACATAGCAGCCCTGTGTTACTTAGAACCAGGAGTCTTCTGATGGCATGTGCTCAGTGTAGATTCAGGTTAGGCAGAGAAGGGCTTGCCTGCATGCTGTTTGTGGGTGTCTAGAATATTTATTAAAGACCTTATAGATCTGTAAAATAGAAATGTTGCAAAGGAAATTGCACAGTTAACAAAAGAACGTCTCTAGGACCACATGGTGCAACAAGAATACAGCATTCAGGAAGGTGACTGTCAATGAGATCTAAACCCTATAGCTACATTATTTGAAAAGCAATGGAAGGTTTGCAAGGGTAGTGCAGCCAAAGATTTTAAAGCGCGATTTAAAATTTATGGGCCAGAGAGCTAGAGTACTGCTGACTGGATAGATCCTGACAGGGGTGCAGGGGTGGAAAGGCCGGGACTGTGAACCCACCTCTGTCCACTACAATGACACACAGTCAAGATTAGCATCAGCACCATGCAAAGTCCTGAAAGGACAAAGCCTGGTATCTCCCTGCTGCCTCCCAGATAAAAGAACAGCAGGTGGGACTGTAGATGGAAGAGATCTATGCCAGAGTAGACGAACCAGGTGAGTGGCTCAGTATCAGTTAACAAACAGACTGTTAGCCCAGGCCAGAAGTGGTGCCAGCTGGACTGAGGACAAAAGTGTGACATCCTGTGCTCAGCCAACTTCCTCTGTAAAGGGCCCTCTTGTAAACACTGTAGAGATTTGTTTTCCCTTTGTTTATATTGTAGGTTTTGAAGGGGCTTAAATTTTTTTCCACAATTTTTCAAAAGTTTGAACAGTCATATATACTATTAAAAATGTTGTCGTCTGGCAGGAAGGAAGGTAGGTAGCCTCTTAATGCTCAGTGTGAGACTGGTGGCAGCCTGGACAAGGCTGTACTGTACAGGAGGGCTGTGTAGTGAAGCACAGATTCGGCTTGTTGAACAGTGACATCTTGTCATCCCCGTGTCCAGTTCTTGACAGAAAGGGTGGGCAGCTCCGGGCCTGCTGCAGGTGGAGAGAAGCTGGTGTGAGCCTTCCCTGTGGGGGACAGAATGAATGGAGGGATAATTTTTGGTTATCTGTCCATAGGAATTTTTTGAGAACCCTGCTTTTCGTCCTGATGGTTTGAAGCTGTACCCTACCCTGGTGATCCGTGGAACTGGGCTGTATGAGCTGTGGAAATCGGGACGATACAGGAGCTATTCTCCCAGTGACCTGGTTGAGTTGGTGGCTCGGATCCTAGCCCTCGTGCCCCCGTGGACTCGTGTGTACCGAGTGCAAAGGTGTGTGTTACTTTTCAGTCTCCAGATAACTGATGCTCTCTAAAGGAGTATTCTGGTTGTATATCACGAGTTTTGAATTCTTTTTTAAATTACAAGTAGATTATCAGGAATGCTGTGAGGAAACTAAGGACGGTATGCCCAGTCCTCTTGCCAGTATTGTATATTTATTCATCATCCATTTGTCCATGAACCAGGAAAGTAAGAACAACTTGAATAGGTCCCTTGGGCAAATTCTGCGGCAATCTAAGCATCAAAGTAAATATATTGAGGGACTGAGAGATGGGTCAGTCATTAAAGTACTTACCATGCAAGCATGAGGACCTAACTGTCGTCCCCAGAACCCAAATAAAGTCTAGCACAGTCACATATGACTGTAATCCCAGGACTGGGGAGAGAGGCAGGCAGGCAGGCCCTGGGGGCTCTGTGGCCAGCCAGCCTAGCTTACTTGGTGAATTTCAGACCACAGAGAGTCTATCTCAAAAGGATGTGGACAGCACCTGAGGAACCACACCAGCAGTTCTCTGGCCTCCATGTGCATGTGCACGCAGTATATACATATGTGTGTTAATAAATTATAACCAAATGAATAAGGTACGAGTCCTTTGATTTATTCTGCTAATCTTAATTAGGTCAGTAATTTGTGTGCCTCAAAAGCATAGTATCAGCAGTGTTCATTACATATAGATTCTGTATTTGCAAATTTGCCTACTAGAAAATTGTGTGACTCAGACTCTATCCTTGCAACACATTTGCCATAAATCATTCTCAGAATAGGGAACAATTTGGGTCATTCATGTACACACTCTTAGCCAAGGTCAGAACAGTGCCTCTCTGCCTCTTTCCAGCCATCACACTGTAAACAAGGTGTTTTTTTTTTTTTTTGCACTCTGCTTAATGCTACATTTTTCAGATTTTTGTGAGCTAGTTACGAATTGGCTCTTTAAAATGACCTCCAAACACAGTGCTCAAGTGCTGCCTGTTGCTTTTAAGTGCTGGGAGGCTGTGAAGTGGCTTACAGAGGGAATAGCGGGTGCTGGGGAACCTTTATTGAGAAGGCCCAAGAGGGACTTGTTGGCCGTGAGTTCAGTGTGAATCAATCAACTATATATATTAAATAAGATGTCTTTAAACAGAAATGCAGAGGACAGGCACTTACTTATTGATGGTTGACCAAAAAAAAAAAAAAAAGTGGCGTGAAAGGCTCATAGGAACCTCGCCCCGTGTGCTCTGTAGGAGCAGTGGGTCTGGTTCACTTCTTCCATGGTGGTGGAGACTGAGAGAATGGAATACCTACTGACTGCCTACCTACCAAAGAGCACGGGAGAAGCCTGACCATTATCCAAAACCGACGAAATGAGCTGTGTGCCATGTGCTAGGGCCAATTAAAACCACAGCCCAGTGTCTGTGCCTGAGTCTAATCATGAGCCAGTATCACACAACCCAAGTAGGTGCACATTCTAGAAAATAACCAGCTTCGTCTTTCAGAGTATCAGGGTCAGGGAGTTAGCTCTGTTTGATGGAGACTGAAGAAACGTGACCGCTAAATACAAGATGGAAACTGGGCCCTTTTGCTTGAAGGACATTGCTAAGATGCTAGTGCAACTCTGTTGGGGTCAAAGAGCAACAGCAGAGTGTGTGTTGGGGGCAGTTTTGTGGTTGTGGTAGAAATGTCTGAGTATCCCAGTCTTGCCACGTCTTACTTCTTCCTCTCCGGCAGGTCAGGAACTATAGTTATCTGAACTTCTTCTGTGACTTAGGCATTGTTTCCCAGATGTTAACTAGTACAGCAGGAAAGAAGGACATGGCAAGAGCAGTAGCAGAGGCCAGAACAAGAGTCCATGTGTCTGTCTGCACCACCCAGTCACAGAGGAGGCCAGTTCCACTCCCACCCACCCCTGAGAACCAGGGTCTTCTAATGGAAGGAGCTGACGATAAAGCCTCCTGTTGTCTTTCTCCTGGGTCAGGGCAGCAGAGACACTTGGGTAATGTGAAAAGCTTCATTTCAGGTACCATAGGAAATGACATCACTGACCATTATCCTGCCTGCACCAACTGAGACAATAAGGATTTAGGGGGTGACAGCAGCCCCCATCTTTGAAGTATCTGAGGGAGAAGGACCATCTAGTGTGCAGCCCTCTGCCTTTGAGGGACACCATCTGCCTCATAACTGCAGGGGATGGAGAGGTCTCCTGAAGGTGTAGAGTCATGATGCCCTTGAGTCCAAGGACAGCTGTTTGAGGAGACCAAGAGTCCAAGCAGCACTTGCCTGGTGAAGCACCACCTTGTTCCCAGAGTGGGGTCAAGTTTCCATGCTTTAGGGCTGGTGATTCTCCAAAGTTTGAAAATAATCTTTTGCTGGTTTAATTCAAAGACAGTATTTTTTTATAATACTTTCCATTTTTTTAATTATTTTTTATTTTGAACTCTTTATAACTATGATACTTATTATACAAGTTTTCATCCATAAAGATTTTGGTTTGTGTAGCTTACTATGGACTAATTAGTCCAGTAAAACATTGATTTTGGTAAACATGGGTAGAAATTCTTCAAGATATTTTGGTTTTATGTTTTTAGTTAGATATTATTGCTGAAATGTTAATGTGACTATTTGCATGGAAATTCATGTTTGAGATTTTCCTATTTGGCTTTTTTTTTATATCTTTGTGTGTATATGTGTGGTTTCTACATATACGGAGGTCAAAGGACAACTTTCAGGAGTGTGTGTGTGTGTGTAGTATACACACATATGTCATTGAGAGGATACGGAGGACAGAGGGCAGGTTTCAGGAGTCAGTTCTCTTTCCACCATGGATTCTAGGAATCACACTCAAATCATCAGGCACTTCTGCCTGCCCAGCCTTCTCACCATTCTGCTATTTGGTTTGTGCCCATTTTTATTTCCAGATAGTCTATGTATATTTGGTTTTCGATGTCTCTTGTGTTCTACGTCCGTGGCCTCAACCCCAGATAATAACTTCCCAGGGAAAAGCTACAGTGAGCACACGAACACTTTACTCCTCCTGTTCTTCATAACAGCAGTGTAGCAGTGACTCTCCAGTGTTTATCTTATGCCAGATGTGATAGGTCATCTGGAGATGATTGAAAGCATATGTATATGGCATCATCTTCGTGGAAACAAGCATTTTGGGATCCTAGAATACTGAGGAATGCTGTACTGCACTTAAAAATTACTCCAATTTAATATAGACTGTAAGTTCCCATTTGTCCTCAATAGTCATTGGAAATTTAGCCTCTACTTGTGCAATACTGAGGTAGTGTGTAAGATTGCATATGGTGGTCCATGTTTACACGGTGTGGTTTTTGATGTCAGGTCAGTGCTTCATACCTTGCTTTGCAGTCACGTGATGTTTTCCTTTGGCTCCAGCAAGGTATGATATATTAACTCTCCAAATGTTTAATGCCTACATAGCTAGCCATACAGTACTCTGTCCACACAAATATGATAATGTTTTAGAACCTACAACTCCTTCATCACATGTGTTAACAATGAGCTTACACTGTTTACAGAAACATCTTTGTTTGATGAGTATTCATCTTTACAGAGAACTGGTAAATATGACAGTGTTTACATGAAATATGCAGATACAGAGAACCAAACACCACATTATCTCACTAGTGTGTGGATCTAAGCAAACTGATCCACACAAGTATGAAGTAGAGCCAGGCGGGTGCTCATTAGGTCTTCATTCATCAATTGAAACACAGTTGCAGTTAAGTGTGAGGTGTGGCTCCTCTGTTGATGGAGTAGGAAGGCAAATGCTGGAAAGTTGCATGTCAAGGAAAGGAGACTGAAATGTAGCCCAGCAGTATAATATCTGCCTGCAAGTGGGCCCAGGGTTCAATCCTAGCCCCTGTCCCTTCCCTAAAGGCAATTAGGATAAGAAAGAATTCTGAGTATTCTTATCATAGGAAATTGATACTTTGGGGGTGGGGATAGATGTACTAAATAATGCAATAAACTTTCTATAATAAATTGAAATATCAGAGTATCACACTGGGGCCTGTTTATATATAGATATTAAAAGCTTAGATATAGTTAATTAAAAGCGTTCAAATATAAATAAGATAATATCGTCTTTAGGGCTATACTTTAATGGCAGCATAATAGTCTTATGTCTGTTTGTCTTATGTAGCAATTGGTCCTTTCATTAGGTAGACATTTAGACTGTTTCCAGGCTGTCTTAGTTGCTTTCTTGTTGCTGAGATTAAAAAAATAAATTGAGGGGGCTGGAGAGATGGCTCAGTGGTTAAGAGCATTGCCTGCTCTTCCAAAGGTCCTGAGTTCAATTCCCAGCAACCACATGGTGGCTCACAACCATCTGTAAAGAGGTCTGGCGCTCTTCTCTGGCATGTGGGCATACATGGAGGCAAAATGCTATATACATAATAAATAAATATTTAAAAAAATAAATAAATAAATTGGAAAAAAAAACTTGAAAAAAAGTCGTGTTTTGCTCACAGGCTACAGTGTGACATGTCAAGGAAGTCACAGCAGTAGGAGTTTGGGGCAGCACAGAAAGTGACAACCCTTTGTGCTCCTCTCACTTTCTCAGAACCCTTTCCACAGCACAGGATCTCACCCCAGGGAGTGGTGCCACCCACAGTGGGCGGGTACTCCTACCTCCATTTCCCTAATCAGGATACTCTCCCACGGGCAACACGGGCATCCCCAGAGGCCTGTCTCCAAGTGGTTTTAGAGCTCATCAAATTGTCACTTGATATTAACCATTACTCAGGTCTTTCTTCATCCCTAGCCCCTACCTCCTTTTGAGACAGAACCTCTCTATGTGCTTCTCAAGGGCTGTGATTAAAGGTACGTCCACCATGCCTAGCCCCCTTTAATTATTATCCTAGTCTCCATTATAGCTAAAATCGGTATGTATCAAAATTTTATTTTTTATAGTAGAATAATCTATGGAAAGAATTACATTATGGTATTGGATCTATGTATTTTTCATCATTATTTTAATACTTTAAGTCTTTTTTGAAAAAAGAACTATAAATGGGATGGGGTTTGCTGTGTATATGAATACAATTAATAAGTGTTTCTAAAGATTATGCTAATTATTATAAATCATTTCTGTTTTATCTCGTCTTCTATAACATTGCATGCCTATAACTTTTTACATTGAGGGTATGATTTGCATTTCCCATTAGTGGGGATTAGCTCTTGCCTTGTATCTGATTATTGTTTATGTTCTTACATGACTTGCTTGTGTCCAATTTACAAGTCATGGGGTCCAGAGGGGGGGGGGAGTGCTTTTTATAGAGAAAATCCCCCAAAAGGAATTCATAAATGTTCACTCACATTGAATCCTCCTACCTGGACAAATAGGAAGCTGGGGAACTGACAGTTCCTGCCAGAATGGGGCACTTGAGCATCAGAACATCAGACAGCAACATTCTTGGTGTGAAATAGCATTGAGTGTGTTTAAAACCCTGAAGCTTCATTTCAAGGAGTATTAAAATTTATACTCAGTCTGAGGTAGAATTTGTTATATCTGATCCTCAAGAAAGAAACTTGTATCAAGATCTGGATGATAAAACTTTAAATGAAAATGTAAATGAGCAACGTAAACCTATTACAAAGGTGCAGAGAAGGGACTGGAGAGATGGCTCAGCCATTAAGCACAAGAACTGCTATTGCAGCTAACCAGAGTTCTCATACCAACACTCACACATCTCACAGCTGCCTGTAACTCCAGCTCCAGGGAGTCTGACACCCTATTCTGGCCTCCATGGGCAGCTGTACTCGTGTGCACACAGCAACACAAACATACACACAATCAAGTGTATTAAAGGTACAGAAGGAAGGCTAGGTGTTGAGCAGTGTCAAGTGGCTGTGACAAGTGGTGTTTTGTTCAAGCTCATTTCTTCTAGCTTCAGTCTTAAAGTATTAGGCTAGTTCTGCAGGTCAGAAACCTGCTGCTGGTCCAGGCACATCTAAAAGCACCTCACTGTAATATGGAGGCTGGTGGTCAGGCTTCTAGAAAGAAGCCTGGTGACCACAAAAGCCTCCTCCTGAGGCATTCTATACCTTTGTTTTTGTTTGAAATCAAAGCCAAGGGAAGTCACGGCTGTCTTTTCTGTCCTGGCCCTTTAGCAGTTCAGTTGTTTCCATGTCATTCCACCTCATAACATCTGCCTGCCACAGCTGCCTAGCAAAGGTGAACCTTTCAGGTTGACACGGTGAAAGAGTTAGAGACTGTGTTTTAGGCGGGTCTCTAGAGAGGAGAAAATGCAGTGAAAGCACCGTATTTCAGGGTTTCCTTCTGCTTGTCAGTCTTCCTAATTGATTACTTGATGTTTCCATTGGTTATTGTTTCCTATACCTGCCCCCTTGCCTGCTCCTAACTGTCTCATACTTTTTAGCTTTCTGACAGTTGGGTTAGGAGCATCTTCCTGGGTGTTTTTATAAAGTACATCCTGCTGGAAGGTTCTGTATTCTAGCCCCGAGGAGTGTAGTCAGTGATTAAGTAAAATTCTGTCCAGGCACATGATGGGCTCTGCATTAGATCGCTGCTGCCCCTAGGCTATTTGACAGCTGTCTGCCTCGATATGATATTAAATCACTATGAGGCGTCAGGCTAGGAATACCAATTTGCAACCAAAGCTTGCTTCTGATGCATGAGAAATTTCAGGCAGGAACAGCCATTAACATGGCTTGGGAAGGTTTTTGATGAGCAAATTGTAAATATTAGCACCTCTAAGCTTGAAATATTATCCGTTGAGCCAGTATTCGCACGGGTGATGTCTCTTCATGCCAGGAAAGAGACTAGATTAAATTACTTAGAGAAACCTAAAAGAATTTAAACTCCTACCTCGATGCAGCAGCAAGGTCAACCATTTATAGCAGCCCGGCCCAGGTTGTAACCCAGTCTGAGTGTGGAGCTGGGATCCATCGTACACTGCTCTGCATGCAGAAGATGCTTGGCCAGTGTAGAAATGTGTTCCACATTCCAGTGAAGGATCCTATCTCTGAGAATTGTAGTTGCACATTTCTGTTCCTTAATAACTGAGAGCTTCCATCTGCTGTGCTCCAGGCATGTCACTACCAAAGACCATTAAAGCCGTGCTTCATTTTTATAGTGACAGACGTCAACTTCGGACTTTTATGAACTGGTAGCATTCCTGGAAGTTTACTATGGTAATAGGCATCTACAAGAACATGCAGCCTATGCAGTCTCACAGGCCCAACACCTGGCTTGCTACCCCTGTCACCATCTTGAAATTGTTAATAATTTTATAATAAGAGGCTACATGTTCTCACTTTGTGCTAGGTCCTACGAATTATAGAGCAGCCTCCTGGTATATGTACTGTAGTTATTTTAGCACACACACACACACAAAGCAAGGTTATGCTCTAATCAGTTGAATTAGCCCTAGCTCTGCATTTCCTCGGGGCAGTTACCCTAGCTTTGTCTAGTTCATTGTTCATAGCAACCGTGTAGGACATAACTACCATAAATAACAAGACACAAGATGTGTTTGTCCCTCTGCTGATCCTCTCAGGTTAATTTCAGAATATGTATAACAAGGGTTTGGAAGTATATTTTAAGTTTTAAAATATTTAGTGTGTTCATATAATGACTGTTATATATTCTACACACTTACAAGTTGCTATAAAATATTTCAGTGTTAGAGAGGAGCACTTAGAAGATTTTATATTTGGCTTATGTAATATAAGCAGAAAGATTTTAAGCAAAAGTATGTATTCCTTGCTAAGTAATATTTACTTTCAAAACTTTTGCGTGATTCTTTTTTCTGATTACCAACTTTGAAGTATATACTGAATTTAAGAGACTAAAATGCTAAAGTTAAAAATCATTTTACTAAAAACTGTACATAAACGATATATGCTAACGAGTTAGTCAAAAACAAAACCAGTCTTTTACGTCCCTTTGGGCCTCCTGGTATGTTTCTGTAGTACCTTCATGGAACCCTCTGGATTTCAGAGCCTGACAGATCTGTGAAATGCTTCTTCGTGCTCATTGATCAGCTTTCTGGAGCTCGTACAACACAACACCTAACTCCAGCTTCTGATTGGCATCTCCTTAATGTCTGGCACTCTGCTATACCAATGCAGAAGCTAAATCTCATTTCCTCAACCTTAGGCAAGATCTTATTCCCCTAAAGCAGAGTCCCTTCTGGTTTAGAGTTGGGGAAAACTGGGGAAGGTCTGTGAGCGGTTAGAGCGGAAACCAGGCTTTTGACCTTGGTGAGTTTCAGGTTCTGTGTGGGAGGGAAAGTGTTTGCAAAATGGTACATGAATCAGAAATGTTATTTCTCTCCAGTAGGTTGAGGGTTGTTGCTTTTCATTCTTGTTTTGTTTAGTACAGGTGTCTATGAACCCCAGGTCCTTCCCAATGGCTCCCAGGCATTTGGGCAGATACTATGCTCTGTTCTCTAATGTGATTTCCATTAGATGTGTTTCACCAACCCTCTCAGAGGTGGGTGGAATCAGCTTTGAAGATGGGAAAGCTGGGGTATAAGGATGCTCTCAGCCTTGCTCCCTCTCCTCCTCAGGATGCTCTGCCTCTGCTTTCTGCTCCATGGCTTTGCGGATTTTCATTATTTTTCATTTTCAAATTTCCCTGCCATACTGCTGTGGAGAGTGGTTTATATTTTCCACAATTGATGGTTTGTTGTTTTGTTTTTCTCCTTCAGAGACATTCCGATGCCCCTCGTCAGCTCAGGAGTGGAACATGGCAACCTGCGAGAGCTGGCATTTGCAAGAATGAAAGACCTTGGAATACAGGTATGAGTAAATGTGACTGCCAGGGATACTGCAAAGAAAAATCTCATCATATGTATCTCCAAGGCTGTCACTCTCATGCATTGCTGGTACCAGTTGGGTCAGAAAGCTTATCTATGTTACAGGTGTTCTGTGTAGCGTATAGAAGCTGAAGTGAGTGGTGACCAAGGCTGCCGCTGTGTCTCTGTCCACTTCTGACTTCTGTGACCTGTTGGCTTTATATTTACTAAGCAGCTTCTCTCTCTTGACTCTAAAAGAATTAAGGAAGGTGTTAATTTGACAGTCTCTAGGGGTAGTAGTGAGTTTGAAATGAAGCATCCTAGGAACTTCTTAGGGCTTCTAAAGAGATAAGCCAGGAGTGGTGCCTGGCCAAGGGCACCAGGGGTTAGGCTGTGCCATCAGAATGCAGTGCCATTGGTTGGGGGAGGGGGAGGGGATCTGTTGACTGTTTGTATTCAAGCATAGACCATGCTTTCAGAGAAATGGTTCCAAGGACAGCACACCACACATTTGTGCGCTTGCCCATGACTTATTTTATGCTTACTCAAATTATCATGGAGGAAAAAAATTTAGAACATTGTCCAGAAGAGAATTTTTTTTACTATTATTGGTTTATTCAACACAAAATAGTATAATAATTAATTAATTGAGTGTAATTAATTAAATGTGAAGTTTTCAGTTTTAGAAATAAGCAAGTGCATGTCGGCATATTAGCAGCACCACATGGAGGGCTGACTACTAGCAGTCTCCCTATCTGTTGGTCTTCTTTAGCCTTGCTCTACCTAACCCTTGATAGGATCTGCTAAGTGATCCGGGAGTGACTCTAAAAACCAATTCCCATAGGTAATGTTCTTACCAGAAAATACTTGTCTCTGCCTTATAGAAAACAAACAGACAAAACCATGCCCTAGGAAAGAACAAGAAATATAAGCAGCAGGTACCTGTTGACTGGCAGGTAACTCAGTTACACACACAGTCTCCTGTATAGAGCTGGGCTGGAAGATAGAATCTGCTCTTAGTAGATAAGCTGCAGATCTGGTGGCCACATCAACAGAGTGTCCTTCTGGGCAAGTTTCCCAAAGCATCGAAATACCTTTGTTTTTGCAAAACTGAATACTGAGCGCTTATAGAAGCATTGTTAATACAATTGCTTGAATGATATTGTCAGATTTTCTAGCACAATCCTCTCACACTAGTAGAAAGTATTAGAATCCTGGAAATATATTTATGGTTTATTCTGTAGGGGAAGAATATGCTATAGGACATACCATTGGATAATGCAAGATTTTGTAATGATGTGTCAGGCTGTATAGGATGTACACTGGGTTGAGTAGGAGTGAGGATTGTTACAGGTCTTGGCCATGCAGACTAAGCATTGTATTGGCATCGTCTCCTGGAAGCTGTGCACACCCAGGGGATGTCCAAGAGCCATCCGTAGTTCAGGTTCAACTTGTGTCATATACTTGACTCTAGCTTCTTTCTACATCTTCCCTTCCTTCCCAATTCCTGTTCTTTCTTCCACAATGCCTTTCTTTGAAGGGAAACATACCTTTAATATGCATCTTTTTGCATATCTAAAATGATACGGTATTGAAAATATTAATGTCATCCCGAAGGAAGGTTTTACAAATTTAAGAATTTGTTTTTGCTCTTCTGTGATCATATTTTAGGACTATATTTTCAATCATATTTTGGGGTTGTGTTTTTCAAACAGTTACATCTCTTGGACAAAACTATTTTCTAACTGTCTGACTTAATGTTCTTTATTCCCCCAAGATAATATGTGGTCTCTTTGAATTCTGAATTCATTTTAAAAGGAAAACTATACAACTTCATAAATTCCCATTCTCAAATTCAGTAGAGATGGCTTTTCTAAGGTTTCATCCTTTGTTTCAGTGTAAGTTATGTTCAGACTTGAGCCCCCAGGATTTATGTTAAATGAACACTGAATGAGTCACTACTCTGGTGTTTTTTGCAGTGCCGAGATGTGAGAACCAGGGAGGTTGGAATCCAAGAAATTCATCACAAAGTGCGGCCTTACCAGGTCAGTTTCCTTTAAATCTGTCCCAAGCTGGGACCCTCACCTGCTCACAGAGGGAACCCAGAAATGAGTGAATAACTCGGTAGAGCAAGTCAGGAAAGTCAGACATGAGAGTAACTGAGTTATGGAAGAGCCAGGTTAGGAAATTCAAGGCTGTACCCTGATTTTCATCAGCACTACAGTGTGGAACATGTTCTGTAGTGGGGCTGCTCTACCCTGCTGCTAGTCTGTCTGCAGTCACTCTGAAGGGCACGACTCAGAGTCCCAGTCATTTGACCTGAATGCATTCAAGTGTGAGTAACTTCCTAGGACCAGGGGCTGCCTTCCTGTGGAGGGCCTTGCTGATCCCTTCTGTGTGACCCTCCAGATCTTGTCCTTTGATGATGACTCAGTGAGTTCCGCAGACCTTCGGCACGGTACCCTGAGGCATTCAGGGGAGCCTCACTTTCATATGTCCATCATATCTAACTTGGTGCAGTGTGTTCTACAGGGTGCAAGTCTTCGTAGCCCCATGTAAGCAAGGCTGGAATAGATGATCTCTGCATCAGTGTTTCTGTTCTTAGCATGAACTGTGTTGACATTAAAGGGTCTCTTGAGGGAAAAAGTACACCCAACACTGCATTTTGACAAGTTCTTAATCTAATTATATACCAAACATTAAGCTGAGGTTTATCTATTTTGTTTTGAGTACGTTCTACCCATTTATAGGGTGTTATAGGTCTGTTAAATCCCTATTCAAATAAGTAGAATTCTGAATGAACACCTCTTGCTCCATAGTGTTCATAGAATTATCTGTACATTGGGCTGGAGTCAGAATTTATGTAGATCTCTACTACTGAAATCCCCCTGCAGCTATCATCCATCCTGCACTCTGGCAATTGGACTTTAACATACTCGTTCCCTCACTAGGCATATTTCACAAGCCCTGTGCTATGTTATACTTTCTTAAGTCCCATTGAGAAATAAGAGACGAAGATCACCCGCCTACACACACCCCAAACACACATAAAAAGTAGGTTTTAGTGGAAGAAGTAAGGGCTAAATAGGGAAACCATTGAATATCTGACAATTTGAAAGCAAAATGGGGACGGGGGCTCTAAAAGCCAAACGTGTGATTAATCTGTAGTTATATCTTAGAGACAATTCATAGGACATCATAAATTTCTATAGAAGAAGTCACTGAGCTGGGGCTATCTGTAAGAATCTCAAGGTTAATTAAGTTCAAATATTTGTAAAATTGTTCTCCATTTATAGTAGTCCACAAACAAGGCATGAGCTCTTATTTAATCCTGTGCTTGAGAAAAGGCAAATAAAAGCCATAATTAGTGATGATTCATTCTTTGTTCCTAGCTGAACATTAGCCTAAACACATCCATACAATTATAAAAATGAGCTTGGTTCTCTAATTCTGAATGAGGTTTTTTCATGGCTTTTTATCCAACAGATTGAGTTGGTGCGGAGAGATTATGTTGCCAGTGGTGGCTGGGAAACTTTCCTGTCCTACGAAGATCCTGAACAGGACATTCTGATTGGCCTCCTGAGGCTGCGGAAGTGCTCCGTGGAAACTTTCCGATTCGAATTGGGCGGGGGTGCCTCCATAGTCCGAGAACTACATGTGTATGGAAGTGTAGTTCCTGTGAGCAGCCGGGATCCCTCCAAATTTCAGCATCAGGTAATCTGCGTCCTGCTTCTCCTTGGTCTATAGATAAGAAATTGTCTGAAATAGGAAACAACAAAAGCAGTGGAGTGAGGAGGGAAGGGAAAGATAGGACGGGAAAGAACAGGGTTCATTTCAGTTCAGGGCATCCTGTCTCAGTGTTGCTCCCATGTGGTCCTGTGGGCACCAGGGGACAACAGATACAGCCTGCGGAATCAAATGAGGTAATGGCAGGAATTTGCTTCACAGGTGTAAGTTATGTAGTATCTATGAAACCCTGTTTTAACCCCCAACAACCTAAAATTAGAAGTTTCAGGAAAATATATTAAAAACAGAAATAGACTTAGGAAAGACCCCTTTCAAAAGCGGAAGGTGAGTTGGACAGATAAGACCTATTCTATTAGTCCAGACTCGGGTCAACTGCAGTTGCCTAGACCTTCCTAAAGAGAAGGACCAGAAGGCAAGGCAGCCCTGAGCTGACCCAACCCCATCCCCCAAAATGCCATAGCTGACTCTTGTCACAGTGTTGACCTCTTCTCTAAGTGTGACTCTGGGCAGGGTCCAGTGGCTTCCTTTTCCTTAATCATCAGTAGATTTTTATCACCGACTTTAAGACATTTTACCAACTACTGTGTTTTGTGGACCTCTCTTAATGGATTTCCTTTCCTTATTAATCCATGAACTCCTTTATGCTCTTTCTAGGGGTTCGGCACACTGCTGATGGAAGAAGCAGAAAGAATCGCTCTAGAAGAGCATGGATCTGGGAAAATTGCAGTTATATCAGGTGACTGGAGAGAGGAGTTCATGATTCATTCATTGACATTTCACACTGACACCACAGTGAGAGTCACTCTCTTGCCTCTGTATGAGTACTCTGTTTAAAACTGGTCCAGGCTGACAAGCTAAGGACTTATGCTCCAATCTTTGGGAAATTTCTGAGAGCAGTTGGTCAACTTGGGGTTCTAGAAGCACTTGGTTCCTCAGAGCGCCAGGCCAGTAACTAGTGCACTTTCTTTGCTCGCCTGACCTCTGGTCATTGTGGTCAACTTGTCTCTTGTGCTCTCTGTCAGCTGCTCTGTCTGCGGCAGTGGAGTTTGATAGTATGGGCCTGAGGAAACGTGAGCAGCGTAGAGCCTGATTGCTGGTTCGGGCAATGATTGAAGGCAGGGTGTACTTCTTGCTCTTTCCGTGACGCCGCTGTTGCCTTTGCTCCTGAGTGACAGCTTTGTCATTTGGAAGTGGAAAGGAGGAAGAATTTTTCCTCTGCCCTCTTAGGGTCCCAGGCCAGATCCAAAAATTAAATAGGCAAAGACAAATCAACAGGAGGAAAGTATACAAATTCATATAAAATGACTGAGACACAGGAGCCATCCTTCCTGAGAAAATGAAGGCCAGGAGATGCGTGTAACTTGAGCATTGATGAAGAGTGGAAAGTCATGGGAAAATATGGTAGGAGGAAGGATGTGAGCCAGGAATGCTCCTTTGCTGTTAGGAGTATACGGACTTGCAGCTGAACTCTGAGTCAGTTCAAAGGAACTCTGGCATGAAAGCAGAACGGATGGTATGCCGGAGAGAAAAGAGACCACAATAGGGGGCGGGGAGAAAGGTGTACAGGAAGACAGTGAAAAGGCGGGTTGGGGAGACAGACAAGAATAAGGAGACTTAGCAGGGCCTGTTCGTTCCTCTTGATACCTCTCTATCCTTAGATTAGAGGTCAGAATGGTCTCCCCTCCAAGACAGGCTGGAAGAATATTTGAGAAGGTAGGGCAGAGGAAGTTCCGAGCTCTTCCTGAGCCTGCCGTGTTCTTGATTCCTCCAGCTTTGCCAAGGCACTTGTGCATTCTGAATCATGTAAGAACACCCCTCCGCCCCTGTAGACCAAGGGCATCTTATAGTTAGGGAGGAGACATGAGGAGATTTGAGGGTAGGGGGAGCAAGAAATGATGGACAACCCCTTTTACTCACAGTCTTCAGTGTGGTGTCCCTATAAGAAAAAATTACTAATTTCTAGTAGGGAATCTAAGATCGTGAAAGGCAGAATCAAAATTTACGGTGTATTTGCCCCAGAATGTATTTTGTTTTCCTGTTTTACTACCATATCCCAAAAGCTTACCTGTGAGCTAAGAAATATTCTTCTGAAAATTAAAGCTGAAATGAGGTTTTTAAAAGAAAAATCAATAAGAAGTTGCGAGTCAATAAAATCAATACTGGTGCCCAGGTCTTCATGATTACAATTATAGAAATATAATCACACAGGCTCACTTAATCATTTAGTCTGACTTGGGTTTTTGATGTTACCCAGATAAATAATGTACTTCTTAGCATGTCTAGCTTTTTCTACTTTTCTCCATTACTTGAATCCCACAAAGTACCACCTGGCTGAGCTATGTGGCTGGCACTGATGAGTAATAGAGAATGAGTCCCTCTCCTAGCTTCCCCTGTACTTGGCCAGGAGTACCAGGAAAGGGCAGCCTGCCTCAGAATGCCTTCTGTCTGTGCATCTGGACGGGGCAGACAACACCTGAACTCACCCACAGAGCTTGCTAAAGTCTTTATTGCATTCTGGTCTCGTTGTGGGCTCAGAGCTCACAGTTGCTAACCAGCCAGTGTGTGATTGTCTCCAGGCCAATATGAGAGGCTAGAATCAAGTATTCTCTAAACACTATGCTCTCTTCCCAGTCGTTAAGGTGATCTTAATTCTCTGACCTGCAGCCCTACACTCCCAGATGACACTGTAGCACGTAATTTTTCTGGTGTCTTTGGGACCCTAATCAGATGTCCATTTTCCATCACTGCCTTCCTGACATCCCTTTTCCCTCAGAAGTATCTACCCAAGGCCCGATTTGCCCAAGGTCAAATCCAATTGCACATAAGAGCCTCTGTCTATTTTTTCTGAGCAGGGTGTCTTTCTGAGTGGGAGTTCGCATCTGTGCTCACCAGCCTTTTCTCGTAATCTAAATGATAGCTCAATTTCATGTCATCTGCATGGTGAATTTCTAAAATTACAAGAAACGACTTGCTTAGAGACTCAGGCAAGAGAACCTTTCTGTCTGCAGCAGTGCTGGGTCTCCTCCCCTGGCACCCTGCAGAGGGTTCTTCAGCCAGGATGGGTTTCTATAGGAACAGCCCTGGAAGGACTTCTTGGAGCTGACGTGAGTTCTTTGGGAGAAAGTTTGGTGAGCACTGTTTCCTGCCTTCTGGTCTGGAGCCCCACCATTGTAGTAAAGAAAGCCCCGTATGGACTCCTTGACTTCCTGTTTGACTCTGACCAACCTTCACAAGGAAACACTGAACACATTTGCTGTGTGGCAGGTGCATTCTGTATCTATGGTTCAGAACGTATGGAAGGTAGATAACAAGTGTTTATTAGTGTGTCATGTGTTAATGTTGCTTTTTCCTTCGATTTTTTTCTAAGTATGGTGGTGATTGTGAGTGTGTGTGTACATGACATACTCACATGTATTTTAATATATTTACTTTCATTTCATGTGCATTGGTATTTTTTGCCTGCATATATGTCTTTGTGAGGGTGTCAGATCCCCTGGAACTAGAATTACAGACAGTTGTGAGTTATCGTGTGTATGCTAGGAATTGAACGCTGGGTGCTCTTAATCGCTAAGCCATCTCTCTAGCCCCAAATTATGTTTTAACTGGCATTTATAAAAAGTCAAAAAGAGCGGGATGGTGGTGGTGCATGCCTTTAATCCCAGCACTCGGGAGGCAGAGACAGGCGGATCTCTGTGAATTTGAGGCCAGCCTGGTCTACAAGAGCTAGTTCCAGGACAAGCTCCAAAGCTACAGAGAAACCCTGTCTTGGGAAGAAAAAAAAAAAGTCAACAGTTGCTCTGTACATTGATCTTAATACAAAATTCTCTAATGATACTTGGTACTGCTGTTTGTGGGGTGTGTTTCATGAACGGCACCATTAAATGTGACACAGAAAAGAGATGGTTGGTGGGGAGTGTGCAGGGAGCCAGTGCTCCATTCCTGCCTTGACAGCCACTCTCCTGGTGACCTAATGAATTTCACGGTCCTTATTAATTTTATTAAAATCAGGTTATCTTTGACCATTTAGTCTGGTATCTTGGTTAGGGTTCTAATGTTGTGAAGAGACACCATGACCACGGCAACTCTTCCAAAGGAAAATGATTAATTGGGGCTGGCTTACAGTACAGAGGCTTAGTCAGTTGTCATCATGGCAGGAAGCACGGCAGTGTGCAGGAAGACATGGTTCTGGAGAGCCAGCTGAGAGTTCTACATCTTTATCTGTAGGCTGCAGGACAACTTTGTGCTATACTGGGCATAGCTTGACTATATGAGACTTCAAAGCCTGCCCCCACAGTGATATTTCCTCCTGATAGTGCCACTGCCTATGGACTAAGCATTTAAACACAAGTTTTAGTACACTTTACCAGCCCCTTTTCTGATACCATAGACAACTCTTTAATTTCTTCAGTAATAAATTTCATCCTTATTCTCAGGTAGGTATTTGATGATGAAATTGATGGTGACGAAATTCCCATAAAATATTGGTCCCGGCTGTGGCTTGTAGATCCACGACTTTGGTCACCACTGACACTACTGTTTTCTCTGACGTTCTCCTCAGCTCCTGATTCTGCTCTCTCTTGTCTGTGGCGTTCTTCTAAGTCACACACAGTGGTGGCATGGCTGTTCTGTCTTGACATGACTCATGAGGAGAGAGGTTGAGGGATCATTTGTCATTGTGTTGGCCTAGCTGTAAGAGTAATGCCTTTCCCTTCATCTTGGCAGTGGGTTTTCTCTGTTACTTAGATTTATTATCTGGTGCTCTACCTCTGGACAGTGCTAGCAACTTTGCTTTTGATCTGATTTGAACCACTAGTCAGAAAGGTTCTGCATATTCTTGTTTTCCTTATTTATGTTTTTATCTGTTGCTTCCATGTATTTATTGAAAACTGTACACTGTACTTGGTGAACATAGCTCCATGAGAAGCACTGAAGCTGCTTTAAGCGGTTAGATGAAGTACTATGAGGCATTCAAGTTCACACATTTTAAAAGTACACAATTATCTTAGTAAACAGTTTTAAAGTTAACTGTCAGCTTTAACTGTAAAAATTATTTTAAAAGCAGAAATGAAATATTTAGCTTCATCATCATCAAAATCGCTAGATGTGTTGAGGGGAAAAATAAAAGAATCTATAATCCCAATACTTGGGAGTCTGAGACAGGAGGATTGCCGTGAGTTCAAGGCCATCATGGGCTACAGAGTAAGACTGTTAAAAGGAGAGGTGTAATGTTAAGCCACCTTCTGCGAACTGGATCTCCATCCATCATTGTCCCCATTTGCAGGGGAGGATGCGACTCCTCCTTAGGCTCCAAGTCATTTCTCCACCAGGATTAAGTGCTTCTTTTTGCATGCATATATATATATGCAAATCAGTGTGCTAAAACTAGTTAGCCAGGCAGTGGTGGCACATGCCTTTAATCACAGCACTTGGGAGGCAGAGGAACATGTATTTCTTAACTGTTCCAGGCCAGCCTGGTCTACAAAGCAAGTTCTGTTACACAGAGAAACCCCATCTCCAAATAAAATAAAATAATTTTTAAAAACTAGTTTATAAAATAATGTATTGGTAGGGACTATCTGTTAGCTGTTATTCTATTGCAAAGCAGCTAGTCCCAGTTGTGTTCAAGGGCATCAGTGTCTTGGCCGCTTACCTGAGCGGCTTCTGTGGGTGCCTGTTTACTTAAAATCCATGGAGTTTGTCTATCTGATGATCAGCAGCCTGTCCTTCTAACATCAA